GTGGCAGGGGGGGGTTAGCCTTGACCTGCCCCCTCCCCCCCGCATGATTACAAGTGGCTGGAGGATGCCCCGGCCCAGGGCCCCAGCCCCTTAATCCGCAGCATCCCCCAGGACGCGTGTAGACCCAGGTGGCCCCCTCGAGCCGCCCCCTGCAGGCCCAGGCAGGCGAGAAGGAAAACCCCGGGGAACTCAGATGGGGACTGGCGCCCTCCTGTGGCCGGCACGGGGCACTACAGGCCCAGACATAGCTGAGATCGGGCCTGGGCCAAGGAACCATGTCAATGGGGCCGCCTTTCTGGAGGGCTCCCCCTCCTCAGGCACCCCTGTGGGTCAGCAGCACTAGCGCCAGGGGGCTTATTAGCTAGCAGAGCCGAGGCCTTATCACCAGCCCCATAGCCCGATCCAGCCTGACCCACTGCCAGCTAGAGATGGCACAGCCACGGGGGCCGTGGGGCGGGAGTGAGGGCACCAGCAGAGCAAGGGGTGGGATTAAAGGGCACCGGCAGAGCAAGCTGGGTTGCTACTGAGAGCGGGTGGGGGTTGCCAGTGCGTAAAGTGTTCGGAAAAGTGGGGGATGTCGCCCCACATCTGTCCAAATCTATTCTGCCCCCATTCAGTGCTAGGCCGTCTGCTCCTCTTCCATTGCCAAGCCCCCCCAGCCTGTGCCTGGACATGGGGTGCAGCGGAGCCCCCCTTCCAGGCTGAATGTTGCACGGGGGACAGAGCTGACAGGTGTCCAACTCCCCCTGCACCCTCAAAGGCCCCTGGGGCCAACCCAAACCAAGGGGCAATCTGCAGGCAGGCCTGGTGTATGGCAGGGGCTCTCCAGCATGGGGCTAGGCTAAGAGGCCCGACAGGTGGGGGGGTCTCCCCACACCCCAGGAGCCATTACTACATCGAGCAAAGCTGGGCAACGGTTCCTATCCTGCGCGGCCCTGGCACACGTCCTGCTCCGTGCCACTTCCCCCACTCACTTTGCCTAGTTAGATCCTAGATGCCAAGCAGGGAGCAGAGTCTGGTAGGCCGGGACTCTGAGTTCGTGCCTCTGCATCTTACCGCCCGCAGGCAGCACCAGGACCCCAAAAGCTGGTGGGACTGGGGCAGCCCCCCAGCAGGCAAGATGTCCACACCAAGGAGGCCAGCCATAGGGGCCCTCTGTACACTACAGGCAGGGCTCGGGCAGTGTTCATGTGGGATAGCTCACCCCAGAGGCAGCTGCATCATCTCCACAGTCCTGCAGGGCACAGAGACATTCTGGTGCCCCCCAACACGCTCTGCCCAGCTGGAGTGTGAGGCACTGGGCCAGCGGAGCCCACGGAGGCGCAACTGCTGGCAGGCTGGGACGGCCAAGGGAGGGGCTCCCATGCACCAAAGCAGGAGGTGTTTGGACTGACTTTCCATCACTTTATTTTGCAAAAATAGAAAAGTCCCCCCTGCGACAGAGCAGGGCGCCAAGGGGGCGGGTGATGGGGAAGGGGCTTTTCCTTTAAAATACCATGTAAAGCTTGGCTGTAAACATGACCGAGGGGTGGGGTGGGTGCAGATCCCCCCCTCCCAACTTCCCCCAACAGGGTCCTTGGCTTTAAGGTCTGGGGTATTTCTTTTTGGCAGCTCAACAGGATCAAAGAGCAGCAGGGATATGGGGGGGGGGGGG